GAGCCCCCTCCTAGGAGCTGGTGTTGAGCAGAGAGGCTGGCTTTAATGTGGCGGCTCCTTCTTCATTCCAGGTCCGTTTCCCTGTAAAGCCATCAACAAAATCCTGCGGAGAACCTGTGACTCTGGGTATGTCCCTTGCAGGCGAATGTTGTCAGACCGCTGGGGAGGTGGCCCTTGGTTCTGATCGCGGTGCTCGTCTCTGCCACGGCTCCTGCAGCAAAGGGCTGTGTCCGTGGGGGGCTGTCCCACCGGGCTGCGGAGGGTGTGCTCGAATTAATGGGGGGGCGGGGACTAGAGGGCCCCTTTAATGGAAGCTGGAGACTTTATTTTCAGGACAGGCGCCCAAGTTCCGGTTTTAAACACTCTTTTTAATACAACTGACACTACCTGGCAAGCGCTGAAAATGTGAACTTGTGAACTATCTAAAACGTGGCCCTCTGGCCCCCTTGAATAAGACCGAAGTGGGGTAGCCCCTAAAAGTAGGAAGCGGGTGCTCAGTCCACCCAAGTCCCCTGTAATGGGATCGCTGCCCAGGAGCGGAAGTTAGTGGCCAAGTACGTAGAGCACATGGCCCTGGGGAAGCTACTGGTGTAGTTCAGCTGCCGTCACTCCGGTCAGGGACAGGCTGGTTGGCTGTGATGAGGCCTCGAGGGTTAGGACCAAAATAGGGGGAAGGTTTTGGAAGGTGGAGCTGGGGGGCCCTAAACCAAAGCCCAGATCTAAGCAAGCCGGAGCTCTGGGAGCTCATGGGATCCAAACCTGGGTCTGAAGTTTTGCCGAGGGGATTAAAAACCCTGGACTCCAACGCAGGGAAGTCCAGCTCCTAAATAAATTATAAATAAAAATAAATAAATGAATGGAGATATCCTATCTCCTAGAACTGGAAGGGACCTTGAAAGGTCATTGAGTCCAGCCCCCTGCCTTCACTAGCAGGACCAAGTACTGATTTTGCCCCAGATCCCTAAGTGGCCCCCTCAAGGATTGAACTCACAACCCTGGGTTTAGCAGGCCAGACCACTGAGCTATCCCCCTGCCCTCCGACTGTCTTGAACCCAAATCCACATAAACTGTACATCCAGCCCAGGTAGCCATGGCATGTACAATGCCGACATCTCAGCCTTGCTGAGTGGGCGGGGGAGGGATATGGGTAGGGACCGCAGACCTAGAGTGAGCATCGTTGTTCCATTCGTAATGTCTCCATTAATCCAGGCGTTCTCTCTCTCTCTCTCTGGAGAAACGTCCATTCGACCAGCCTCTCTCTGCTTTGCTTCTTCCTCGGGGCAGCATGGCCCGTGTCCTGCATTTGCTGCGTTCATATAGCTCCTCCCAGCCTGTGTGGAGGGCGGGGGGCATGTAGGGGGTCTCGGCAGAACTGGCCAAGCCGCTCTACAGAGTGGGGGGGAGTAGCGCATGAGTGGTGCCTTCACCAGTAGGAAGCTTGTGTGAGGAATGGCTCTGGGCTTGGGGTAAATGACTTCATCTGGGGGAAGCGGGGGCGTGTTAGCTTTATGCAACCTCTCTGCTTGTGGCCCCATCACCATAATGTCTGAGGGCCTCACGCTCTTTCATGTGGGGTCCCCCTCATTCCTGGGAGGCAGGGCAGGGCTGATGTCCCCATTGTACAGCTAGTCGACTGAGTCCCAGAGACCAAGTGACTTGCCCAAGATGGCACAGGAAGCCTGGGGTAGAGCAGGGAATTAAACCCGGCTCTCCCCGTGCCAAGGTTAGTGCCCCAACCCCAGCAGTCGTCCTTTCTCTGAATGGCCCTTTCTAGGGACACAGGGTGCCTGACCCAGGCCCTCCCGGGCGCAGCTCCCCATTCAAAATGCCACCAGCAAACACTTTCAAGCAAAACTCTCCCTGGGGGGGTGACGCCCTTTGTACCACGCAGGCAGCTAATGTTTGGGCGTCACACGAGCTGTCGGGAGAACGGAGTGTGTTGGTGTCCCAGGGCTGGCCGAGGCGCCCTGCTACCCTGCCAGTGGTGTCCTGCCAGGCCCATAGAGCCTTGGGTTATTGTCCTCAGAGGTGGGTCTGGCTGGGGATTTCCTGAGGGGATTGGGCACCCCACTCCCATCACGTTTCAGTGGGGCCTGTGAGGTCTCAAGCCCCAGTCCGTGGGGTGGAGGGAAATTCTAGCAGCAAACTTGCCGATAGCCAGCTACTTCTCCCCTGCCTGCAGAAATCACTTCATCATCTTCAGCGGGGGCATGCCCCGCGCCAGCTACGGGGACCGGCACTGCGTCAGCATCCTGCAGGGCCAGAGCCTGGTCACCCTGGACTTCACGTCGCGTGTGATCGACTTCTTCACCGTGCACCACACAGAGCCGGAGGAGGGTAGGCGGCCCGTTCTTCAGAACCGAGCACGTCTCGGTCTTCCCCCCCGCCCACAGTCTGGCGACTGACGTCTCACTGCTCTGCCTTCTAGAGTTCGATAACCCAAGTGCCCTGGTGGTCCTGGTGGAAGAGGAGCTGGTGGTCCTCGACCTGAAGACGCCCGGCTGGCCTACGGTTCCTGCCCCCTACCTGGCGCCCCTCCATTCCTCCGCCATCACTTGCTCCTATCACATCTCCAACGTCCCCCTGAAGCTGTGGGAGCGGATCATCAGTGCTGGAGAGCAGCAGAGCCCCCGGCATTCGTCTGTGGTAAGGGAACGCCCCCTGCTGGAGAAAAGCCACTGAGCTGCCACTGGGTCTTGCCAGGAGGTGGGTGGGGTCCATACAGCGCCTGGCACAGTGAGCCTGATGACACGTGGAGCCCCTGTGGGGAGTTGTCACGCTGACCTCCTGGCTCAGCGAGCAGCGTCCAGTTGGGCTGCACAAACCCATCTCGATTTGCTCGGATGCCAGCAGCAGGGCGGGAGGGGTGCACGTGGATGAGGCCCCAATGGGCCTGTGGAATGAGCTGTTGCTTAATGTTTCCCCCCACCCTGCGTGGGTGGGATCTGTCTTCTAGAACTGGCCGATCAGCGGAGGGAAAAACTTAGCCCAAGAACCCACCCAGAGAGGCCTTCTTCTCACGGGGTAAGTACGGCTCGGCCACCACCCGTTCGACTGGCTAATCTTTTCCCTAGCTGGCCAGTGCTGGGGTTTTCATCGGGTGTCCCAGGGAGCAGCGTGTGGGGTATCGAAGGGTACGTCTACACTGTGGTTAAAATCTCACGGCTGACCCATGCCAGC